TTCTTTTTCGTCGGGATTCAGCTTGGATATCTCCACTCGCGTCAGATGTTCCTTTATTGGCCTGGTCTGCAATAGATTATTCACTTTTTAGTATGGTTCGACGAATCGCGGGTCGAAGGGACTTACAGTTGCTGCGAGTCGGTGGCTGTGTTCCGCGGACCAGACGAATTTCGTGGAATGAAGGATCCCGACGAACGTTGACGAAACGAATTCCATGGTTTCATATCGTCCTGGAAGTAAACATGATTTCAGCTTCAAGAATGGAATGCAAAATCCATTTATATTTCTCTTTCAGTAAATGCCTGTGCCGTACTGGCGACTGACACAGACGAAACGAATTCCATGGTTTCATATCGTCCTGGAAGTAAACATGATTTCAGCTTCAAGAATGGAATGGAAAATCCATTTATATTTCTCTTTCAGTAAATGCCTGTGCCGTAATGGCGACTGACACGATAGTCCACATTTTCCAGATAATGGTCACATTAAAAAGACGATTTTACTTCTACGAAAATATCAGCAGCAAGAAAAGCGATATCAGCTTAAGCACTTCCAATGCCGGAAAATATCAAACCCAGAGCACTCCTGGACGGAAATGGCAAAGGATTTGTCGAACTCCAGATCCGTAGGGACGTTCGAATTGTCGCATACTCGCGAGGCGGCAATGTAGACGTAACAAGCCAAGCAGCACGCTCGAGAGAGAGAAAATGAATCACCGGACAGCATCGCCGAGAAAGAAAAGTAGAAGGCCGAGATGGACGCGGCGATGTCGAAGGCCGTGGAGATCATCGCCTGCCAGCACGTCAAGGACTCCAGGCATCCGAATCCCCGACTCGCCCGGCCGTATCTCAGGCGAAGCGCTTCCAGCTCTTGGCTCATTTCCTTCTCCTTCAACCCGTTTGCATCGGCTGAATCACGGAAATCCTCCATTTCCATTTTAAAAAATTCCATTTGGGGTTTTCTTAACTGACATTATTGGAGTCGGAGTTAATTTCATTGAGATATTTAAAATCGGTGTCACAATAGTATCCAAAAAGCAGCTAGCAAATTACCTCAGGGCAGCTTCCCAGACTGCATAATAATATTGATGCGATGTTGTCATAGCATTATAGTTTCAATTTCTCCAGTGTCGACTCAATAAGGAAGTACGAGCATATTCCAAAGGAAATCACTGATCTTGATGAAATTGGGTGCATGAGCTCATACTAGTATATTCTGAAATAGTTTTGAATTTCAAGTGTGTGGGATAAATATTAATGGAGGAAACATACCAATTAATCCAATTTCAATTGCGGATTTTGGGTTATACAAATCGGCCGAAACGGTTACCTAGAGAGTTTTTACTCTCGAAACGTTGTAGGAAATCTCCTAAATATGTACAGAAAAATCGAGATATGTTTTAAGATCATGTGATGAAGCACATCGGAGAAAACTTTGTAAATTTTGGAAGAATTGGTGGAGGATGCATTGAAGGCACCAGTTTCCTTTTTCACTTCTCTTAAGCCGTTTCCCTACAGGAGCTTCGTTGAAAGTTCAACCGCAAGGGATTGCCAAGATGAGATTTCTGGCGTCGATTTCAACAAGCTGTTACGGTATTTCATGGATAACGGATAACTACGATGCTTACCATGCATCGACTTGGTGCATGCATCAGTTTGATGCATGAAGCTGATGCATGCATCACAATTACTCTCCATGGATGAAACACTCTAACAATATGTTAAAAATTGCCTCCAGAGATCTCATCTTGGCACTACCTCGCTGTTAGACACTCAACAACGTCATTATAGGGAAGCGGTTTGAGGGAACCACAAAAGGAAACTGGCCCCTTCGATTGCGACGCCCTTCTCCCCTAATTCTTCCGGCATTAATTAAGTTTTCTCTGAATTGCTTCATCCCTTGTTGTCGCAACTTTTCTCGAATTTTCTGCAAACCTTTCTGACGTTTCGTACTACGTTTCGTCAGTAAAAAATCCTCTAAGTAACCTTTTTCGGCCGATTAGTATGGCCTCATAGCCGCTTGTAATATTGGAATAATTGGTATGTTTTCTCCATTAATAATCATCCTAAGCAGTTGAAATTATTATACAGTATATTTGAAGAGTATGCTCGTATCAGTTTGTGTACTGAATCGCATCAAGATCGCCCAACTCCTTCTTGGTCGTGCTACATTTTTAGCGATGAGTAGTTGTTGATGTAATGTATACAAAACATTATCCTTACAATGTTTACATTGTCGAGTTCGCGTCAAAGTTGACTATGTATAAGGCCATCATCCACATTCCATCTATATCGTTAACACACTTTCTACGTTGATTCAACGTTGTCGTGCAGACTGGGTCGGGTCTCCCATTCATCTCAGAAAAAAA